CACCTTTCATGAGATAGCAGATTTCAGTTTGAAGCCTAGTTATTACACATAATAAGCCAAATTCTCCACTGACGTCAGTGTGGCAATGGTGTGAGTCACTACTGAATTTGGATGAGTTTTAGTGGAAAAGATGGGAATGCAAAATGCACCTATGCACTGCCCTTTTAGTGGAAGTGAACTTTGCTCAAACAATGTTACAAAACTTGGGAGTGAGTGGATGAGCCTGGGCATAATGACAATGAACTTTTTTCATTTGCATATGCTTCCTACAACCAGCCAAAGGTGTGCCTGCTGTTTGAAAGAAAACCAACCACATTATATACAGCAAACTTGCTTTAAATCAGTGCTAAGTAAAAGTGATGCTGCCCACCTGCCTTACCTTTTATTGCAGTATTTTATTATCTTAAAGATAAGCTTTGCCATAAGCACCATTCTTTAAGTATAATACTTACCTTTTTGATAAAGCCCGTAGCAGGGCGTGGGCACAGGCTATTTGCTAGAGTGGTAGATAACCTTACTTAAGCCAAAGAGCGATCCTGTGCCAGGCGCTGCAGCACTCTTGACAGATAATGCAGGAAGACGTCAGTCCTCCTTCAGCTTGCCAAATGGTTCCAGGTATGCTTTTAGATGTCATCTGCAGTTGCCTGAAGCCATTTACTTTACAATGACCTACAGTAAAGGAGGGGAAAAAAGCAGAGCTAAGACAGAAGAACTGAACAGAAAAGCAGTGTGTCTGTTGGTAATGAGCTTTGAAGGATTACATGCAACTTTTACTGAATGTTATGATTGGTAGTTAGCTTAATTTCCACTGAAGTTGAAAGAATTAATTGATCTTTCTGCTACCACTCAAGAAAGAAATCAAAATGACTTCGCTGAAGTCTAGCTAGTTAGTGAAGGAAGTCTGAGATCAGGAAATAAGCGTAACAGAATGAATATTTGTCTTTTGGTATTTTAACAGGTGAGCCCCTAACTCCTGACAGAACTGAAACCAGTGAAAGCAGAGGAGCATCAAGACCTCATTTTCACACTGGAAGTTAAGCCCCAAACCTGGAATCTCTCCTGCACAGGAGCCCATGTTATATCCTGCAAAGGCAAAGCCACCTGTTTTTATTTATTGCTGGTATGTGCCTTTTTTTCTTGCCAACCCCTTCCCCTTTCCCAGGGGTTCCAATTCAGTTGGTCAGTGTTGTGGTTTAGCCCCTGTCGGCAACTAAGCACCACACAGCCACTCGCTCACCCTCCTCTGCCAGTGGGATGGGGGAGAGAATCGGAAGGGCAAAAGTAAGAAAACTCGTGGGTTGAGATAAGAACAGTTTAATAATTGAAATAGAATTGTAACAATAATAATAATAGTAAGAAAAATTGTAGTGAAAAGGAGAACAATGAGAGAGAGAAAAATAAAACCCAGGAAAGAAACAAGTGATGCAACCGCTCACCACCTGCCAACCGAAGCCCAGACAGTCCCTGACCAGCGATAGCTGCCCCCCAGCCAACTCCCCCCGCCTTTATATACTGAGCATGATGTCATATGGTATGGAATAGCCCTTTGGTCAGTTTGGGTCAGCTGTTTTGGCTGTGCCCCCTCCCAGTTTCTTGTGCAGCTGGCAGAGCATGGGAAGCTGAAAAGTCCTTGACTTAGTGTAAACACTACTTAGCAACAACTAAAACATCAGTGTGTTATCAGACTTATTCTCATACTATATCCAAAACACAGCACTATGCCAGCTACTAGGAAGAAAATTAACTCTATCCCAGCCGAAACCAGGACAATCAGCAATCTCAAGAACACCCAAGTGAAAAAGAAGGGAAAAGCCTGCCTGGAGTGTGTGCTGGCTTCTGAAGATGTCACCCTGAAGGGGATGTATATTGGACACGTGATTGAGAGGTCTCCTCAGTACATCATGAAGCATGAAGGGAAGAGAGCAGAGCAGAGCAGAGCTTATCATGCTGCTGAGCTGAGTGACTCAGGAGATTGCACAGCCATCGTAGGCTACACAAGACAGTGACGCTAATGAGCAGAACAGCAGTGCCAGTGTAACTGTGGAAGGTAAGTGTGAATAGCTCAAGAGAGGAAGACAAGGAGAAACAGTAGTCTTTGCACTGTTCTCCAGTGAACTCTGCAAAGGAGCAGTGCTGCTTTGCTGTAACAGCTAGGAAACTGATGTGAGAGAACACTGCTCTGCAGTCTGTTTATTAACATGGAATAAGCCATTAGTCTGTGCCCCCTCTTGCTAGCATGCAGATAATAATTAAGGACTTCCCTTTGCTGTATAAAGCAGTAGAAGCATAAAGCAGTAAATCTTACATTTAAGTCCTTGCACGTGTCACCTAGACCAGCCCAGTAAAGTGTACCATGTATTTTATTCTAATCAGGGTTGTCCTAACAAATTCATATCCTGATTCTTTAAAGCGACCCATGGGACGTTTGACTGCAGTCTGCTGAGGACCAGCAGCACAACATGAGGCTGGTAAATATTTAATATCACATTTGTTTTGTTAATTAATTTTGCAGTGGCATTATTGATGCTGTAAACTTAAGTTTATCATCTTTATAGAAAGACACAGGGCTGTTAAGAGTGGGGAAAAAAAAGTTGTCAAGCTTAGCTTCATGCTCTCAGGCTGGAGAAGAATTTCAAAGTTAGGGTGTGGTGTTTAGTGGCTGTTAGTATTTGAGATTACTTCTGTCAGATGTGGACCGGCTTTGAACTACACCCAGGTGCCTTCCATGAAAAGTGTGGCATTTTAAGACCATTTTTAAATGAACTGCATGGAAGGAGGATAAAATTATATTAGTGTATCCTTCACAGTTCAGGAACAACTGAATATTCAGTTGGTAGGATGGTACGAAGGAAACTTCAGGGGCCAGAAGCAGCTCAGCTGTGAGGTCAAGCAGATTTTCTCACGTGGAAGATTGATCTGCCCTAGTGCCCATCCCTGCCAGGTGTCTCTGTGAGGCTGGGCATTTTCTGTGTTAGATGATGTCCCACAAATCCTGTCCTGGTGTATGGACTTGGGTGGAGGTCACTGAATTAGTTGCATTTTGGCCATGTATTTCTCAATTTGTTTTCCCAAAACAGGCCAGAAGGGAGCGGTTTCCCAATGGCATCCCCAGCCCTGGGCTTTCCAGGTGTGCAGCCTGGCGAGGGGTCTGTGGCCAGGGTTGAGTGTGGCTGGCACTGGGCAAGGAGGCGCTGGCTCCTGGAGGATGGGTACCAGGCCTGGGATGTGAGTGCCCTCTGTGGGCCATGGCCAGGGTGGCCTGAAGGGACAGCGTGGGGCAGAGGCCTTCTCTGACCACTCCTCTGGGACAGAAACCACTCCTGTGGCACAGGTGACCTGGAAAACTGTGGCTGAGCCGCCTCTGACTCCTGTGCAAACTGGAATTGCAGGCTGGGGCCTTAGTTACAGATTCGTCTTTCCCCATGCAGAGTTCAGGTTCAGATACAAATATTATCAGGCAGTAGAGGAAGTGTACCAGCTAAGGGTCTGGAGCAGTGCCAAGAGGCTGTGTTCTGCTTCAGCTTTTGGGTTCCTATAGCTACATTCCCTCCAGCGAACGCCCACAAAGAAGGGCAAAAGCTACTTAGGAACAGCCTTTCTCCACCCCCCTTTTTTCCCATTAAGTCCAATTCACTCAACCACTTCCGTCCTGAGGGCCTGTCCATTATGTTATGAGGTCTCCCTGCCATTAAATACCTCCTTGGTGTTTGAAGTGCTCAGTCAACAATCATTGTGCACAGTTTTTCTGTTCACATGCTTCCACCGGGATTTCTTCCAGACACATTTGCAACCATGAAGAGTATGTGTGTGACATTCATGCTCTAACTGGGGATCCTGCTGAGCTCTGTGTTGTCCTGAGCGACGTGAAGGTGGAAGGAATATGGCTCAGTGATGGCAAATAGGTAAAATGCCCATGGTATTGTCAGTATAATGAAAGGCTGCAAAGCTCTAGTGGGAAGTTTTCTCCAAACAGCTACTGTGGGACTTGGCCTGGTTTTGATAAAGGGCTTTTGACTAAGGACAGACAGATGGACGGATCAGACAAGAACAGGTCTAGTCTTTCCTACTCTACTACAGCCCTCAGTCTTACTAAGGTTTGGCTTTGAATCTTGCCTTTCTCAAAATTTTCTTTCCCAGTCTCCTGTAAAGATGCTTTCACATTTGCTAACCCATTTTCTCAGCCTGTAGACTTGCATTCTTTCCCAAAAGGTTGGCTTCTCACGACGCACCCTTCTCCTTCCCCCAGTCTCAAATTTTCAGAGTAATCAGTAAAGGTATCCTTTGTATACTAATGCACACCCTTCGTTACATGCCATGTGGTTCATCTATGCAGATGCACAGATCATTCTGTCCACGTAACACTGAATTCATTTTGTCCATAGGTCATAGAGCATTTTAGCAGAGTAGGAGCTAGAAATCCTGACCGCTTAGACATCTTAGAACAGGAAACTCTGATCAGAGGACTCAGGGACAGGGCCGGAGATGGTGTTTGTTGCAATTGGGTTGTTTCCTGCCTCAATCTTTTTGTGAGATGATTACACACATGAAAAGGATGTGGATAGTGAAGCAGGGGGCCATCCACAAACTCATCATTGACAGAATGGGAGAGGAGCGTGAAGGGAGGTATGCGTTCAGAGCCAAGGGGGCAGAGTGGAGCAACAGTTGCCATTGGAGGTGGCCACCCCAGCTCCTTACTGCTCTGTACCAGGCATACACAAACACTTGCCGAATCAGTGCTTCACCAGGTCTCCTTACCTGGGCCTGTACCATTTTACAGGCTTATCTATGGGCACCAGCAAAACCTCTTCTTTCTGCTTCTTTGTTCCCCGAGGGGAGAAAATTGAACAGTCGTACTGGTTAATTTTAAGTGACTAAGCATAGGTTTCTGTGTTTTTAAATCATCAATCAAGAGTTTTGGCCTGAGACTTTACTTCAAACATTGTTGTCATGAGCAACAAGAAAAACACCTTTTCTGAAATTTTATACAGAAATAGATAAATATGGGTATTACCCAGCCCTTGGCAGCCAGACGGTGCCAGGTGGACCTTCAGCCCTGCCTGCAGCATGGAAACAAGCCTCGCCCTGTCCGCTCGGTCGGGGCAAGGTGGACAGGTACCGCTGCACAGACAGCGGGACAGACGCAGCAGTAAGGATGCTGTGGCTGCAGCACCAAATGTTTATCATACCTGTGTTGCAGTAAAAACCCATCCACGGCAAAGCTTTGGTATAGGGAGGGTTGAATTTCCTGCATTCGTAAATATTTTTGAATGCCTTTTTATGACTTTCAGCAGAAGATTGTAATTTCTAAACATACATGTGTTGTGACAAAAATAAAAAGAAAAACACCAAATATGTTTAGGAACCTAGTTATTTTCCTTTATTGTGTGCAGGACATCCTTACTATTTTCCCATATTGCTCTGTAACAAATGAGGGAGCGTTCTCTTTACAAGCAGTACCTAACTTTGATTCTACTATCTTTATCATGATCATAGATAACCCAGTGTGGCCTTAGGGAAGAACAGCACAATAGGCTACTGCTTGTGCCTTGCAAAGCTTGGAAAGAAACTGCCTGGAAGCAAATCTCCAGGCCCTAGTGAAGTGAGGAACTTTGGGGCTTGCTATTTCCCAGAGGTTCCTCTTTTTCTGCTGAGCTGAACAACTAAAGGAGGTCACCTGGCTCCCTGTACAAGAAACAGAACTAAATTAACAGAATCAAAACACACTGAACATTTTGAGTGTCCCCAAAGACTTTCACAAAACACAGGATTCTTACATTAAAAACATGAAGGAACGTATGAAAGGCCCAGCTTTGGACCACCTTTTCTGGGAACTCACAGACACAGGAAAGATGTCAAGCTATATTTGCAGCTGCAGCTTTCAGATGTCTTCTGTTCTTTCCACTCTCCTGTTATTGAAGAACCTGTCCCCGAGCTTTTTGCTGCACACGGCGTTACTGTGAAGACGAAGCATACAGCAAGCATCAAGGTGCCTTTCAAGGCAAAGCCAATGCCAAAAGTCACATGGTTTAAAGATAGTATTGAGGTGACAGAGGAAGAGAAAGTGGAGATGGAGAAAGCCAGTGACTGTGTTACAATCAAAACCTGTATGAGAGAAGACAGTGGAGCCCTTACGTTGAATCTGAAAAATTACTGTGGCTCGGCTTCTGGCAATCATTACCTCAACTTTGTTAGCAGGTCCTAAATTAATCCTTTTATAGCAGGACAATCACTGGTGGATATGTTGGGTTACAGACACTGTAATTCAGACTTTCTTTTTAAAAATCTTGTGGTGAGGCAGTCTCTGAGTTATCCAATCAAGTGATTCAGGACAGTTTAGTTTTGCTGTAATCTCCACTGATTTACACCGTGACAGGACATGAGCCTCTAAATAATAGCCCTCCATGTCACTCTGTTCAGCTGCTCACACTGCAGACAAACTAAAACCCCCACAGGGGAAAGCAGAGTTTCTGTAACACACAGGGAAAATGTAAAATGGAAGGCACCCAAAGGCAATGGAGGAAAGAAAGTGACTCACTCCATCATCAAGAGGAGGATGGCTGAAGAAAAAATCAAAGTAGGGGTGGTGGAGAGCAACTACACCACATTTAAATGGAGGAAGGGAAAGCCTACAATTCAGAATAGATGCCATCAACTCTGAGGGCGTCATCAAGCCGCTGGAAACAAGAAATTTTTGCTGGAGGACCAATTAGCCAGCTGTTTTTAATGTGGTTTCACAGTCCCACTTCCCACCATTTTTGTCCTCTTCCGCCTTGCCAGTCTCCAAAAGAACGCTGTCCCCTGTGCTTCAGGGGACAAATTCCAAGGACAGAGCTTAGAAGCTGCTTTGTGCTTAGGCTAATAGCCAGGATCAGACAAATACCCAGGTCCTTTCACTGCAAGTGTTTGTGGACTCAGAAACCCCTCGATATGGACTGGCCACAAGAGAGGACTGACTAACGCACTGTTCCAGTGTCAGTTACATAAGCTTAGTGGGATACGGCTGAAATGAAAAGTGGCTTTCTCTGGAAAATATTGTGGGGGAGGAGGGAAGATAATTTAAAAGGGAATGCTTAAAAACATTTTGTTTTGCAGCCAGAAAAGAAAATATGTGAGCCAAAAACTAACTTGGTTAGAAAACACTGCTGAACTATCTTCTGGGACTTATAGTTTGGGTACCTCATGTTCCCATTTTTCCCTTATGGACTGGGATCCCCAGTGAAAGGTGATTTGCAGTCCCCTTTCCCCAAGACCAGAGTGTATCATAGAAGATACAGTGCAAAAAGCTATTCTGGCCTATTGAAACATTTCAGAAAGAAAATTACCAAATTGAAGTAATATATATCAGTTCTCACCTGAAACTTTGCATTTTTGTCCAAACTTCCTATGGATTAGGGAAGGCATTTCTGAGCCGCTCTGTGATGCATCACAGAAAGAGCTCATTTTTCAGACTAAGTGCAAGAATTTAAATGTTTCAACATTTGAAATGACAAAGAGAAGTAGATTCCGAAGAAAGAGTCTTTAGAAAAAGGTTGTGGCCATGAATAAACCTTAACATACAAGTTACCTTCCTTGACTTCTTGCTGTACATACATACATATATATTTACACACACACACAACTTGAAATCAATGAATTCTGATTGTACTGTGCTAATTTGATTTTCTTCTGCGTAGAGCCTCTGAGACAGGTGTGTCAGCCTCCAGTTGTAGATGTCAGAAAAGAAGAAGATGTCACCATCACCTGGAACTTCCCAGCCCAGGATGGAGGCTCCCCAGTGCAAGGTTATGTCATAGAAAAAAGGAAGAAAGGCAGCCATATTTGTGTCCCAATCACCATGGAGCCAGTCCAAGGTCAGACCAAGGTTATTATCTTGGAAATTTAGATATCTAGAAAGCTAGATAAGCTTTGAATGCAAGGTTGAGTATTGATTAATCAAGGAAAATGTCATCATGGCGTCTATCAAGATACACATTTTGACATATGCTGTTCAAAGCGAGATTTTCAGTCCTCAAGTAGAAATAGCCTGATACCCACAAGCAACAATGAGAGGGCAGAACACACAGCACCTCTGAAAGTCACACCTATGGATTTGGGTGACTAATTTCAAGCATCTGTATTTTACATCTCTCCCTACCTAAATTTGCTTTTCCCTGACTTAGACCAGAACTGAATTAAACAAGTGACTGATTTTGTTGTATCCATCAGATAACAACCATATGATCCATGCTTAGCACAGCTTGTATAACACATGGGAGTGTTCCTATCAGCAGCAGCATCTGACTAACGAGACTTTTGCTTTTCCTTTTCTGTTAATATTTTGGTTCTTTCTTGGATTCTTTCCTCTGTCTCATTCAAAATGTTGGACTTTAATATTAATTAAGTTACAATCAACCACACTATCCAAAAATATCCTCCTTAAAGCACCATTATTACTCATGGTAAATAACGGAAACACTTTTTAAGGCAAATTATTCAATTACTGAGGTTTTTTCCAAAACTGAATGGAGGTTTAACCTTGCTTGAAGGCTAGATTGTGAAAGGCTTGGCCTCTCTATTGAGTTTGTTGCATCATGGGCAATCCCACTGAAGTCAGTGTAGCAAGACATTAAGATATTTTTCCCCAGCATGTATGATTATACCAGGCTAGACCATAATCTAGTGGAAAGCAAATTATGCCTTTTTTCCTGTTGTTATATGGATCAAAATTCCATCTCCTCAGGGAGAGAGATATGAAAATGGAGCAGACCACTAGAGAAGTGAAGGTTAGACCTAGTTAAGGGGCTCCCTGAACCCCTGAGATTTATATTGTTCTCCAGCAGTCTGTGAGCTGAAATTTCTTCTTGGTTTATCTCAATCCAAAAGCAATTAAAACAAAAAAAATAATGACCACTAGGGAACACTTTTATGGGTGATTAGAGAGTTGCGTAATTGCACCATGTATGTCTCTAGGTACCAGATTCAAAGTGGATGGTTTTCTGGAGGATAGAGAATGAGTTCTGTGTGATAGCTGTGAACCGTGCAGGCTCTGAACTTCTCAGCATGCCCTCACCCTCTCATTGCAAAGGATCCCATCAGTGTGTTTCTTTCACTGTTTAATGTCTTGTTTTCCTAAACATGTATGTGATGATCAGATCTACGCATTTATGACTGAAGTCTGAGGGAATGTGGCAAATCCAGCCTGGCTTAATGTAATGGACTGCATTGTGTTTACAGCTTAACTAAAGATTAAGGAGGGCCTTAATACTGTTGGCTATAAATCTAATTATATTGTAAGTGCCTGAAAGTGTGATATTATTCACTTAAAATGTGTAACTATTAAGGTAATGACACAGTAAGAGATTCCCACCTGGGGGGAACTGAGTATATGCAAACAGCAGAGATCAACATAATAAAGGTTCTCTAAGGTGTAGAAACCTTTAGTGCTTAATGTTCATGTATAGGTTGCCAAAGGCCCTAGTGTGTGACAAAGAAGATCGTTTCTCATACATGTCACTATGCTCCTTTCATCTGTCCCCCATCAACCCTTTTAAAAGAAGAGAAAACTCTTGCGGAATTCATGGAAGTTGCTTACATCCTTTCATTTTAACACTGGATTTTTAGTTGTAAAGAATATATGCCTAATTCTGGACTGTTCAAAATCACAGACAAACTCCAAAGGATTACAGTAGCCTCAGAAATACTGAAATGGGCAGATTTTATTTTGTGCCAGTTATAGAGAATTCTTACTCTATATGACTATATAACTAAAGCATTTTAAAAACAAAAGGCTGTCAGAGGCCATCAATAAATAGCTTAAACTATTGATGGAATCTTGTAATAGATACAGGAGTGGGCCTTAGTAAGTGCACATAATTTAGAAAAAAACCTAGCCAACTGTGGAAGCTGGTATAGCTAAAATATGAGACAATTCTATGTAGTAGACAAGAGCCTTGGGGTTAAATAGTTACTCAGATGGGAAAGCATTCAGGTTCCTTTACATCAGAAGATAACAAAAAAAACAATTTAAAGCCTGAAGCTATGATTCTTCTCCTATTTGAAGACTTACATTATTTCACGTTAGGCCTAGGAGAATATGTACTGTCCATATGCACCATATTCCTTATGACCCTGTGTGTTTATATGAGTGTTCTGTATAAAAGTCGTTAGCATCGAGTTTGTCATGGCACACTGCACTGGTTGACTTTTTTGGGTTGGGGAGGGCAGAGGGAGGTCATTGCATTTTAGCTGAGACTTTCATAGTAGAACATGGATTCGGATACACAACTCCCTATTCATTTGATTAAATGCAAACAGGTATTTTTTAATGTCCCATCTTTTGCTCTTCTTACATATTCTGGAAATCTAACTGCACTGCTGCAAGGTGAACTAAAGAGAGAAAAGCAAGATGTGTATTTTCAAAAATTACTATTAATTAGGGGTACTGTAATCTTCAGCAAATAAACTTGAAGAACATTAACAGGTTCTTGCAAGCCAGTCAGCAAAATCACTAATCCAAACAGTCCAGAAAGCACCTGTCCACTTTACACAGGACTGTAGGAGGGATTTACTAAACAAGAAGAGACACCAGGCACTCAAAGCCCGGACAAGTTATAGGAAATGTACTGCAGAGCTCACTAGTCAGCTAGGAAGAGGCAGAAGCAAACCTTTAATGCTAGACACCTCTCCCAAACACGTGTGGAGAATGAGTGGTGGTCAAGTGCTCATAGAAGGTGCCCTTCCCAAGCTGAATTCAGATGGTCCCATGTCAAATGTTGTGAGAATTTTTCTTAAATGGCCAACCTTGGAGCAAGGTCTACATGTATGTGCCCTTTTAGGAACAGCATTGTTTTGTTGGACAGAATTTGCTCTGTGTTTACTAAGGCTCCTTTTACCTTAAAACCTTCCAGGTTCAGCATCTTGAAATAGGAACAGCTCTTTATTCACATATGCAAGCATAGGCCTCCAAGCGCCATAGTGTGTCACAGCTCTTCTGCTGTCACAGAGCCTCCAGAACTGCTGAAGGTGATGGATTTTTCCAACTCCAGCATTTCCTTAGCCTGGCAGGAGCTAGAGCATGGAGATGTGCTGTCAGGATACATACTAGAGATGTGAGCTAAGGACACCAAGAAATGGACAAAATGCACCAAGATCCCTACCTCTAGTACCATTTACACTGTGGAAAGCTTGCAGGAGGGACAGGTGCTACTTCTGAACCGGAGCTGTGAATCAAGCTGGTGTGGGAGAAGCAGCAGAGTTACAGGAAGGAATTCTAGCAATGCCACCTTCAGGTAAGATGTGTGGTATCTGTCCTGCTGGAACTCCCATCTATCAGCTGTTACTTTGCTGTGTTTTTAAAATGTACCTCATTTTGTAGAGGGTTATCAAATTCATCTTGCACAAAGAAACATTTAGCATCACAGCTCTGCTTCTTTTTGCTGAGTTTTCATAGGTGCCGAGACAAGATGGAGAACAGCACAAGCTGTGAAGTCCTTGAGCAAAATTAAAATCATTCTGCCATCCTTCTTGCTGAGCTGTCCCCTGAATAGTATGTCAGGTATAATGGCAGTTGTTTCTTCCACCATCTGACCTCTCACATCACATCTCATGTGATTACAGAGGTCACTGTTGGAAGATTCTGATTCCTGTCATGTATACTGTAGTCTGAGTATGGGTTAGGAGAGTAGATACTACAGCAAATAAACCATCATGTCTGAAATGCCTGTTTGTTGTAAATACAGTGGTACTGAGGGAGGATTATAATTCTTTCAGGTACTCGGTTTGAATGCGATGAATAGTCAGGTGCCAGCATGCTAAAGTTGAAATAGTATTATCAGAGGTCATGCTTCAAAGACATTAATTATGTCTTGAGAATGAAGGTATCATGACCTGCCACGAAATCCCTAGATAGCTTACTATTTGAGGTAGCAAAGTATTTAAATCGTTATTGTTTACGACTTATGATTGCTTAATTATTAATTAGGAAATTCAGACTTTTTGTGTCTAAGATCCTCCCAGGTAATAAAGCATGGTGCTGACTGCCCTCAGTAGCAGTAACGCCAGCAAGAAAAGATGCATGATTCATGAGTCATGCTATATAACACTGATTCCTATAGAGTAGAAGGATATTCAGGCTTGACTGAGAATGTCTCAGAAGACAACATCCAGGTGACCAATACAAAAAACGGTTGTTTCTCTTCTTAGTCTCCATTTTGGAACTGCACAACCAGTCCGTGCAGCACGGTTTTGTTACCACATCTCCAAATAGAGAAACACCAAAAAATTCCAGAGAGACTGCAGGCTCCAGACAAATTTGCCTGGTGTGGAACGGCAACTTGCAGTACTGTACTGAAGAGTATAAGGAGTCCTATAAGAAACAGACATTATACAAAATTGTTTATGGCAGAAGGTGGACAGTAAAATCATCTAATGAGGCATTAAAGCTGCCTCTTCTTTGTTTTTGTTCTCATTCACTTCTTACATGAACTATTTTTAAATGTTCCTGTTCCACCTGCCTCACCTGAAAATGTCCTGAATGGGTGCTCATCACTAAGCTGTTGATTGCTTAGGCATTAATGTTTCTCTTCTGGTGGTACAGGTATTCGGAAAAGAGCTGGCAACATTGCAACCCTTACACTAACTGCCTTCTGCTGAAACAGTTTGAAGGATTCTTCTTCCAGTCTCCAGGCATGACTCAACAGACTGAAAAATGGCTTTCCTTTTCTGTGCAATCTCTCACTCTTTTAATTTTTTAATTTCTCTCTCCGTTTTTCTTTTATCTCCCCCATAGGTTTGATTTGACTGTGAGGCTGAAGAGCCACATGGTGGTTTGTGCAGGGACAGCACCATGTATTCATACATGTTTCCCTGTGAAATTCTGTGTTGTGTCCTGTCAGAGGAGAAATCCTGCAATCAGACTTTTCTTGGGCATCTGGTGGGTGAAATACAGCTGCAAGGCTATGGAGGCTGTAGTTGTCCTTTAGCCTTTATCACATGAGCTGTCACTTCGGTTTAAAGGAAGTTGACTGTTGGAGAAAACTCATGCAGTGTTTTATATTCATGAAGTCCTGAATAATTGCTCACTATTTTTATGGCCAGTCTTTTTATAAGCCTCCCTGTGGCAGTAAGGGTAGAGGGACTTCTTTGCACACAAGTTTGTCAGCTGCACAACCCAGCCCTCTGCAGATGGAGCAAAAGTGTTCAGCAAACCATAAAACATTGGGGAAGCTCTCCGATTCATCACGAGAAGCAGAATTTTTTGATCGTGCAACTACAGTTCATGCTAACTGAAGTGAAATCATTCTTGATTGAACCTTGAGTGACCTGGGGGAGTGATCGGGTTGTAAAGACAACGCTGAGGTCTCAACACTGTCCTTTCTGAGGTACAATTTCTAGTAACATGGATGTTGAATTCACTTCTGTAGAGGCCAAGGGCAATTTCTGTGCTTTCCTTTTTTTTAAGTCTAGACTACTGCACAAGCTGGGGCTCTACAGTACCTTGCAGAATCAGCCCCAGTGTAAGAATGTATCTCTCAGACTAAATTGTACAGGTTTATCTGTATCACACCAGCTGTTTTCCCTCAGCTTTCAAGACGATCAAACTAATGAACTGTAGCATAAGGTTTATGTGGCATCTCCCAAGCCAGGCCAGCTCTATGCACTTTGCTGGGGACAAAGCCTGCCGTTGCCTTTGAAGCTTGAAGAAATCTCTAGGATTGTTGTCCTTGAAACACTTTTCTATCAGGCTGATTGTGTACAAGTGGCTCCTGTAGACACAGATATCCCTTTTGTGCTCAAAGACGTGGTTTATTTCTGTTGCCACCAAGTCAGGAAGCAGAACGTTATAGCTGCACATTTGCCTTGGGCAGGGCTCCCCACCACTACCAGTGATGTGGCAAAAAGAAGTCATATCAACAAGAGGGAGGACAAGAACCATTCCCAGTCCTTATCCACAGCACCAAGCAACTTGTTTCTGACCTGTACCAGATTATCCTCAAGAATAGTTACAGGGAAGCCCTTTACGATGTTCAAATGCAAGCTGCAGGTACAGTATAGAGCAAACCTGAGCATCTCAGCCACCTCTGGGTATCAACAGGAGGTACTCTTCTGCTGACAGAAATTTCACACAATTTCTGCATCAATACTAGAGTTGGGGAGGTTGGTTTTTTCTTGAAAAAAACAAACGATCCAAATCATACACACCCCTTATCCAAAAAATGCCACAAGAGCAATCCAAAATGTTGTTTCCACACAAGGGAACAAAGACTCCCTGGTCAGAAAGGATTTTCCTACCTCTTGTCACTGTGTTTCCCCAAGTCCCACCTTCACGCTAGCTCAGAGCCAGTTAGCTGAGCCAAGCAGGGGAGCAGTATGGTTCAGAGCTGAGGGATAAGGAAGGAACGTGCTGGGGCTTTGCTCACTCTGTCCAGTGTGGAGGGAAAGGTGAAGCAGTTATTGCTCCAGACATCCCCAAATGCTGCCTTGTTTTTCATGCCATTATTTGATCAGGTAAATCCCCATAACAGCACTAACACAAGTGTCTGTCCCCTCAGCAGTCTGGTGGCATCATTGCCATTGCAAGTGGGTCTATGACATCTATGACAGCCAAGTGGAGGCAGGCTGGCTTGCTCCTTAGAGAGACTCCTATTACTGTAATGACCTGCTGTGCGTTAGGGACCTTTGCAGTGTATTTTGTACTTTGTCATCTCATCAGAGAGTGCTTTTTAAAACTAACAGCCTTATTTTTACATCAGAAGGGAATTACATGCACAAGGCAAATTGGTCCTCAGGTTGCTCAGGGTAAAAGAAATCAAGGAAAGAGGTACTTTCCTAGACACACAGGGACTTTGGATGGGAGGAGCTGAGGTGAAAAATTTTTACCCCAGAAACGAACAGAGGGAGGGTCCCAAACAGAAGAAACTAATACATAAATGTGCTCACTAATTCTTAGATTTCCCCTGACCACCCACTAATTTGCAGCTGGTCGAAGAAGTCCCAAACACTGTGACCCTAAACTGTAGCTCAGAGGCAGAAGATGACTAGCAGACTGATTATGGTGTCCTGAAATGTGATGTCAGTACCACCACATGGTTCACAGCTGCAGAGCAGGTCTACAGCAATAAGTACACTGTCACAGGCCTGCTCCCAGGGAGGAAATAATTCTTCTGAGTCATTGTCTGCAATGACACCGGGGACACTGGACCCTCTGGATTCACAGGCGCAGTGGTACATCTCCAAAGACAGAGGTAAGCATAAAAATTCATAACAGCACTGGAAGAAGATGGGTGCTCTTGTACATAAGACTGTGCACTAAGCTCAGGCTCCTTCTGTGGTCTTAGGTATATCGCTAACCTACTCTGCACCTCAGGTCCCCACCTGGGGAATAGACACAAGAACACCTCCGGTCCTAGCCCATCCATTTGTTGGCAATCTCTTCAGGACCAGGCTTCCTTTTACTACAGGTATGTGTAGCACATTACATAGCAGTCATATAGATGCTGTTTAAATTAAAATTCAAGACAGTAGGGGCCATCTGTATGCAGGGAGGGTGATATTATCGTGTCTTGACATAACAGATGATTGGCGTTACAAGTAATTTGTCTTGCAGCTTATTTCCAGTCTTACTGGGATTTGTTTTCTAAATGAAAAGCAAACATATGACATGTAGGAGACTGTGTGACAGTCTTTCTGGGCCAAAAGCTCTAAGAAGTCCCTAAAAGCACATTAAGTTAAACACTCAGAGGTCATCCTTTCAGGTAAATGCCTTCTCCTTTGTTCAGGCCTAATCACTAATAAGGATGTCTCATTAGCAGTACTCCCAAAAAAAACTGAACATGCCCCAGCTCATCAGGTCAAAATGGTAAGTGATCCTTCTGCCCAGTCTGGGGCAAAGCAGAATGTAGTTACTCTGAACAGTGAGATCCAAGCCAAACTTTTTTGCTTGGCCTACGCCTGTTCTAACAAACAATGTAGTAATATAAAACAAACTATATATTAATATATATTATCAGATTATGCATATATTTCTTCAGAAGCCTAGCCACATGCTGCCACAAGTCTTCTAATCCCATTAAGAGTAATGGGCAATACATTAAAATAAAAGAATAAGTAGTACACTAAAATGAGTAATCAGGTGTCAAATTGTGTATTTGTATTTAACAATCAGCCCTCCTTGATCTACGTAACCAGACCATGGGTATGTTGCTTTGGCTACCTGTGCAGCTGAGAGAGAGCACTTCCAGTTACGTGGCTGTAGTCATGTTCTTGTATGGAAGTAATCTAGGCCTGGATTTTACATAGTCTGAAATAACTTCAGTAGCTTCCGTGTATGCAGGCGAGTACAGAAGAGTAGTAAATGGAGGAAAGCTAGGCTGGTTGTGCCTTGCAGTGCATTCCTGTGAACATTCCTTTGACAACAGCCTGCCTGTCTTCAGGCAGGACAGCAGGACATAAGCAGATGTGAACTGATTTCCTATTCTTCATTACAAATGGCAAATCACAAGGTTTATTTGCACAAACCTAAGACAAGATAGAAAAACTAAAGGATTAGGAGGAGATAAGCTGTTTTCTGAGAATGAGGTCTCGTAAGAGAATTTTGCCAAAGAGTGCTATATTTAGGATCCAGAGGATTTACCTGATGGGATCCCATGCCAATGCAAAAGGAGGTAATAAAGACTTCATGAAATGTGGTTAAATACAGGCTGAAAATGGAAGATTTGCAGTGGACACTGGAAATTAAATTGCACATGCAGTTCCCCTTGATTCCCCCAGAGCATTCTGTAGACTATTCATGCCTCAGAGCAACACCAGCAGAGCAAAATCCCTTCCTTTACAAGATCACCTGCTTTGGTTTATAATTGGGTGTAATTTAATCATGCATTTCTAAAGTGCCTTGGGAGCCAAATATCCAAAAGCACTTTACAATTTAATGGCATTAGTGAGAGAAGGCATCAATATATTCCCATGGAGCAAAAACCTGACACCTTATTTACAGACCAAGAAACAAAGAAATTAATTGCTTGCTTACAGTTGCATAGCAGATTAATGGAAGAATGAGATTTCTGATTCCTTCCTCTCTTGCTTTTCAGTTTGTATTTGTTTACGTGTTGAGATAGGTATGCTGGTCAGATGCTGAGAATGCAGTGTATTGTTCATTCTTCCTCCTCCCTGAGTTTTCCCTGGTGGGAAAAAAGGCCCAGGTCATGAAATGTCATACCCAAGTTTTTTGGATTTGTACTCATGCGGGAGAAGACTGTCTTGACGGTGCTGGCGCTGTGTTTGCATGTTTGCCTGTGCAACAGACAGTGCAGTGCAAAGCAGCCCGTAGTGACTCTGTCCTCAGAAGAGTGTTTTGACTTCAAGGTGGAGTATCCCAGGAAGAAGCATGCTTCCTGTTTCATCGCCCTGCTGAAGAACCACAGCATGAGTCATGGCAACAACTGTGCCATGAGCCGTGCTTTCAGCAGCAGCCCCCACTCAACAGTGACCCTGTACAAGGGTAATATTAGCATCACATGCAAGTCTAAATTGTGGTTCAACTCAACAAGTAACATCTGTCTGCTTATGATCCCTACAACTTGCAGCTGCAAGCTGATCATCTATCTGTGCTAAATCAGATTCACAGCCACTGTTATTTGTTGGGGGTGATTCCCTCCAGGTTGAGTAACTGTAGATTTCATGTCTCTGAGTATAGCTTACACTCTGCTATTTTCCAGGGCAAGTGCAGTTACTGGGACTGGCACTGTGGAGCACACTTCTCCGGGCCAGTTTGGCTCTCACCCTTGTCTGCAGAGGAAGAGATTGCTCAGTCGGGAGGTACTGCAACTGGAGCTGCAAGGGCCACATTGTAAGAAATTATCTTCATATCCAAAAAACAGCCTAACTCTGACTTTGTCTTTCTCTGAAGTCACTGAGATTTGTCTTCAGTTGCTTGAAAGGCAGTATTGGGTCCCTTAAAATGGCATATTTTGGCTAGCAGGTCTCATGAATTCCCTAGATGGCTCAAAAGCAAATATGGCCATTTCTCAGTCCTTAACCAGGCTTGCCCTGCCCCCATGGCATACTTAGTACCTCCAAGCAATCAACTGATGCATTCTGACAACGGTTTTGTGCTTTTTTTGTAGATACCACAGATACTGCACTGGGTAAATCTGTTCTCTTTGTGAAATGACAGGATTTTGCCAACATTGTATGAAAGACAGTAAAAATTTCCAAGACACAAAAAGGAAGAAAATCAGGCATTTCATATTCCTCTCTCGCTTGCCTGTTTTTTTCCATGCTGGAAGCACCCGGTGAGGTTAAAACTTCAGGTTGTAACACACAGCTTGGTTCCAGCTGGCTCAAGTTAGTCCTGTGAGACTGAACACTTTCAGGTGCGTGGGAAGAGGTTTTACTAACAGTAACCCACACCCCACACATGGTTGTCCCATGTCGCCATGCCCAAACTTAAAGCTTGCAGAGTGGTCTTACAATATGCACAGCAGTGCCTTGAGACAGCTGTGTCCTGTGAGTTTCATCAGCCCCTGGTAAGCTCACCCTGTTTATGATTGATTAACTAGGGAGCCTTCAAGGTTAAATATTTGAGAGCAAGAATTCTCCATCCTTTTGTCTGTCATCCCACTGAAGTATGTTTCCCCCATTCTCCCTTCTAGAGAAAGGCCCTGGTGCCTCAGGACCTGCTGGTGTTCTCTTAAAGGGAACAAGAGAGATACACTGCCAGGCACAGCTTGAAATGAAACTGATACAGCACAAATAATGAGGGCCTGTATTTGGAAAGATCTTTTAAGGTTATTTTTGTCTGTGATCATTGCTTCTGGACAGCCTGCTGAGCCCCGCCCCC